CAACAGTACAGTAAGTCCATCGAGCTAGACCCTCCATAGTGAAATAATCCCACAGCACTTGACGCTCTACGGTACAGCAATTCCACAGCAGTGGGCCACGCATGGCATAGACATTCTACATCGCTGGGCTCTCCACAGTGTGCCACTCCACAGCACTGGAAAATCTACAACACTCTTATGCTACAGCATTGGATCCTGCAGGCTAGAGTCACCCAGCAACACGGGGCACACAGTGGGATGATAATTCTACAGCAAGGACCCCACACCGGAAGTCATCATAGAACCCTGAACGTACAAGGGCAATTCTATATCATAGTACCATCCACGGTTCAGTGAGCCTACAGCTCCTTACAGTCATTCTGCAGCACTGGACACGCGAAGGTGACACAGTCCACATCACAAAAATTCTATAGGCATGTGCAGTTCAACATTTCTACTGTGCTGGACGTACGTGGTAGCATCATTCTACCCTGCTGGACTTGTGACTCAAGTGCAGTCATTCTCCGGGGGCAGACTCTCAAGGCACAGTCACTCTGTGACACCGGGCCCTGCACATTACACTTCTGCTACAGCAGCAGACCCTTCACAGTACAACCGTTCTATAGCACCGGAACCTACACATAGTTAACGTGATGGGCTCTACTGTACCGTCAGGCCACAGTGTCGGACCCTCCACCGAGCAGTCATTCTGCAGTCAGAATCTGCAGGAATACTGTTACCATAGACAACTGGACCCTCCACAGCACCAGCCTCCTGCAGAGCTGGACTCTCCACGACGGAGTTACAAGCAACTCTACAGCCGTTCTACAAAGCTGGATCCACACACAGTACTCTCGTTCTCCTGAGTGCATCCTGCATGACACATTCATTCTAAACTGCTAGACACGCCACGATATAGCCACTCTACAGCCTTGGCCCACGGAAGACACAGTCATTGTGGAGTGCTAGAGCCTCCATTACGCGGTCCTCCTATAGCCCTGGCCAGTCCACCGTACAGCCACTCCACAACAGTGGACACGACACTCCACAGTACAGTAATTCTGCAGTGCTCAATGGTCTACGGTAGAGTCCTCTAAAGTGCCGAGTCCTCTACCACACAGGAACCCTACAGCAATGGTCACTCTACAGAACAGTAATTCTTCAACCCTGGACACCCCACAGTACAGTAATCCTAAGTGCTGGACTCTCCCCAGTTCAGCTATTCTCCAGAGATGAACTCTCTCCAGTCAAGTCATTCGAGAGAGCTGTACTCACGTGGTACAGACCTCCATAGCTTGGGACTCTCCATGGTACAGCCATTCTACAGTGCCGGACTCTTTACGGTACGGTCATCCCACACCACAGCTGGACTCACCATTGCATAGTCATTCTACAGCACTGTAGCCTCATGGCACAGTTGCTCCTAGCCCTGCACTCTCCACATTACAGCAATCACACAATGATGGGCATCTCATGGCCCAGTCACCGCGCAGCGCGGGACACGACGCAGTACAGTCTTCTATGGCGCCGACTCCCTCCACTGTCGGCACGCTACACGTGTGGACCCTCCAGTGCACACTGTATGTACCATGTCACTGTGCTGTCACGCCTTGCCTGTGTACGTCGCTTCAGCTTGGCAATGGGAACACAGGTCCCCAACAGTACAAGTTGAGGAAAAATAAGCAATGGAAGGATTCAGAAGGCAGCTGAATCCATCAAACATGCATTTCAGTTTCTTAATGTTCTCATTTCCCTGCCATTAGGGAAGATTCGATTTGTGTCCAGGCACTGAAAATCACTGGCCTGGGCCAAGTGTCCCTCTGTAGCTACATTCAGTTCTACAAGAACCAAGACTCTGTCATTCCCTGACAAAGCACCATCTCAAATTACAAAGCAGAAGCACAACAGCTTCCAGGGGAAGGGTGAGGGACCATAGGGGACCAAGAAAGAAAGGGGGCAGAGAGAGATGGAATCCATGGGTCAAGAAGGAAGAAAGAAGACTCAATAGATGGGGGGGGGGGGAGACAAGAACAAGACATACCTCAGCCTCTCTCTCCCAAGGACAGTACAGCAGACCATCCCTTCAAAGATCTGAGTCCTGAGGCCAAGTGACTTACCCATGCCTCTTAACAAAGAGCAGAGTTAGGCTGGAAAACACACTTGATCCATGCTGCAGTAGAATAGGAAGATCCATTGTGTGGGAGGAAGGAAGTGTCTACATTTGCATAACCAAAGTTCCTCCCTACGATTCCCCTCATGGCTCCACAGAGACCCAGGATCATGAAATATGACCTATGTGAGGACAGACATTCTGTCTGCTTTGTGGCCTGTTTGGTGTCAGAACCTAGAACAGGGCCTAGGAGATCGGCTCAATAAATAGTTGCTGAAAGATTGCATTAGTATTAGTTCTAGGGCTGGGGAGACTGCATGGTTGATAAAGTGCTTGCTTATGCAAGCATAAGGACCTGTGTTTGATTCCCCAGCAAGCTAGGGGAAGCGTGTAACCCCAGAACGGGGAAGCTTGTAACCCCAGAATGGGGAGGCAAGGACAGAAGGATCTCTGGAGCTCACCAGCCAGCCGGTCTAGAGGAGTTAGTAAGCTGCAGTTTCAGGGAGAGACCTTATTTCAAAAACTAAAGAGGAGAGTGACTGAGGAAGATACCCCCCCTACACACACACACCCCACTCACACAGAGAAGGGGGGAGGGGAGAAAGAGGGAGGTCCTAAAGAAAAACTACCAGAGTTAAGAGTATTTTACAGGTAGAGTTGACCCTTGGGGTACCCTTGCCTCACCTTACCCCAGGCTGGCTCTGGGCTGATGATCCCACATGCCTGAATTAGTCTGTCTCCTTCCAAAGTGCCTCTTTGGGAAAGAGTTCTCTCATTAAACAGTCTGATGTCAGTATGGAGCTCCCTGGCTTTCTCCATGCATTCTTATTCTACAGGCTTGGCATCAGTTAAACAAGGAGGGAGGCACAGCAACCTTCATGGACAGCTATCTGAAGTCCTGAAGGCAGGATCGCTTTTCAGAGGGGCCCTGCGTGATGTGTGCAGATGATGGCCAAGCAGGCAAGTTTATTCCTTTCTCCCCAGAAACACAAGAATGCTTCCTGTACCAACAAGTATTAATTGAAACCCCTAGTGAGCCATCCAGGATATGAAAATTACAGTAATCTAATCTTGTAAAGGAAGAAGTACAAATCACAGTTACACAGTCTGACAAAGAGAAAGTGATTAATGTCAGGCCGCCTCAAGGTTAGGGCCCATGGTGACCGCTCCCTGAGAACCACAGTCGAATAAAGAGACCCACCAGGCGAACACCAGAATCAACATCCTGGTTTTCATACTTAGGCTGGGGTTGGGGAGGGCTGCCTCGTTCTCAGGACAACACTCAGAGGACTTCTCGGGCTGGGCAATGATCCCAGGGCCTCAGGAGAAGAGGGAAACCCTTTCGGTTCTTGTGACTCTGGGGCTGCCTGTAGGCTCCGAGGTTCCTTTACCGGGGACTGCAAGTTCTGTGGACTCAGGGTGTCTAACAAAACCACCTAGAAACCCCAATCCTCTGCAGGAAGGACCACGGTCTGTGCAGGGCACAGTCAAGACGAGGATTGCGACTGCGCCCCACCCAGCAATAGCACAGCTCTGAGGAAGTCCTGGCCCATCCCTGAAGCTGCTCCCTGCGTCCCATTTCCTAGAAGCCACAACCCAAGCACCCTGGGAAAGCTGGTCAGGATGCCTGCAGCCTGGAACCAGTGCTTGCTCGTCTCTCTCTCTCTCTCTCTCTCTCTCTCTCTCTCTCTCTCTCTTTTTTTTTTTTTTTTTTTTTTTTGCACAGCTGTATTCAATTTTCTGTCCTTGGGGTTTTTAAGGAACATTTATTCCAGGGCCAGGATTCTCAAGTTTTATGGTTATACAACTCCCTCCCAGGGCCAAAGAATGTTTGAAAAGTCTTAAGTCCAGAGATGGGAATTAGTGAAACAATCCAAAGAAACTGAAACGAGAAACACTAAGACCTGTTCCAATTCAGAGTCAGCCTCTTACCTTACTGCAGTGCACGCCCTGTTTGCCCTTCAAGGCTGTTTGACCTTATTTTTCATGCAGTTACAGGTAGGATGCATGTTCGGGGGGTGTGTGTGGGGAAGATGGAGAACGGGAGAGTACACAGGTAGGAGAGGCATGCAGAGGTACAAAGGTCCGCTACAGCCATTGTTCCTCCTTCCTGTCCCACAATAAATGTTATTATAAATTAGGCCTAGAGATTAATTAGATTTAATAAAAGACTTTTAAGAGAAAGTGATTCCTTTAGAAAGACTATATTCTGGTTAATTATGCCTGATAGAGAGTTGGATGCCCTTGGTATTTTTGGTAGCTGACAGCAGAGAAAAGGAGAAAGGAAAAAAAAATGGGGAGAGAAAGGAGGGAAGGAGGAAAGGAGGGAGGGAGAGGAGAGAAAGAACTCAGGAGGAGAAGACACATACAATTTTACTTAGAATTTTCATGGGATGTTTAATTGATTGTCTGGAAGTCAATTTCATCAATATCTAGCCATCCCTGCCAGGTATAATAACAGTGACAACAGAAGACAGCCCCCGCCCATGGAGTGCCAAGCAACTGTCTAAATGCAACTCCACAGCCCTGCTTAGGAAGGCCCCAGTTCCCTCACCTGGCCTCTTCTGCCATCTTCTCACTAGCTCACCCCACCACAGCCATCTGTCCACCCAGGTGTGAGCACATTCCTTCACTCTACCCTGAAGTCTCCCACAGGCTTGAGGCTGCCTTCACAGGAGCGTCTGAGCCAACAGCAAGGCAAGACTCAGGCTCTGGGGCCTGAAGTTTATGACACAGCACACACCACCCACATTAGAGACCTGGCTACTGCCCAAGACAAATGAGATGTTTCTGAGAAACAAAGCAATTTGCACAGATCCACCGGAAGCACATGGAATCGAAACTCCTCCTTGTCAGCAGCACCTGCTACCCACAGCAGATCCGAGAAGAACCAGACAACAAGCACACTGACCTGGCCTGGCCCTGGCCATGGTGAGGCCTGCTGCAGCCTAGCCGCAAGGCTGAGTCCCCAGCAGAGGTTTCCAACCCTTCTTCTCTGCAGCACTTTCTCTCACTCTTCACAAATCAAGCCATGGAAAGTATCCCTTAGCACACAGCTAAGGATCAAAGGTCAACCATTTCTTCCTAGATAACCACTTAGTGCGCAGTGACTGGAAGTTGACAGATGCTAAAGTCCGAAGCCAGATGAAAACAAAATTCAAAAAAAGATGCCTTTTCTGGAATAGCAACATTTTAAAGAAAGTAATACTGGAAACTTTTTTTCCACAAAACCCCCAATACATAATTCTCACATGTACAATAAAATATAGCAAAGCAACTCCCAGCTCATAGGGTCAAAAATAAACCACACACACACACACACACACACACACACACACACACACACACACACATGTCTTTGCAGGAAGAAAAACAAATACTGCTCAGACTGATCACAATGAGCCCTGAACTCATTTGCTCAAACCATGATATTTGCTCAAAACTTAGCACTAGGGTTTTCCAGTCTGAGGAGCAGCCTGTCCGGGAGGAACAGCTTCCCAAGAGGAGGGATGACTGGGCTGTCGCTTGAGGGAACACGCATCTCAAAATGCAATTTTCAATCATCTAAATTATTAAAGAAGTCTGGTAGTGATGGGGGCACACTAACAGAGGTGGCAAAAGCCAGTCAGTATCTTTGACATTTCCAAAAAGCACACCCTAAGTCAATCAGTCTCAGTCTCTCTCTCTCTCTCTCTCCCTCTGTCCCCTCTACCTTAACATTGGGGCCTGCCTCCGTATTCCAGTCATATAAACACAAACAGCAAAGCACTTGCTGTCAGGACCCCACAGCGTCTAAGAGCATAGTGTCCTCTCTAACTTTCCTCCCAATCACAGTTTGGGAGGAACAAATCACCTCAAGTGCCTTGGTGGTAAAGCTCATGGTTAGCATGTGCCAGGCTTTGGGCACAATACACAGCAAAACAACAAAACACAGTCGCAACCACCGGAGAACAGAGAGCACCATGGCAGTCTTCCCCGGACTCCGGCTCTGCAAAACCTTCCTGTGTGCCTACTCGGTCTGCAGGTTCTCAGGCACTGCTACGTGTGTGATCATTAACCATGGGAGCATTAGGCCTTCTGACCCAACAGCCATCCCTGCAGTGCCCTTCAGCAGAGCAGGAAGTGATGCTGTCTGTTCCCCAGCATCAAACAGCTGTCTCCCTCTGCCTGCCTTCTCACTTGCTACTCTGCCTTGGCGCACTCCGACTTGGTGTCACCAAGGCCGAGCCATTCCTGAGGAGAATGTGGACAACACCCATCTCTACGCTTCTGAAAAACAGTCCTCTCACTGAGAGCTCCGGGGTAATTCTTGACTCTGCGGACCCTCTCTCTGCACAAGTCAACTTACATCAGGGGCCTCTCTCTGCTGACCCAGGTTCTTCTGTGGCTCTGTAACTCTAACCTACCTCATACTAACCTCAGTGACCACTGGTTGTGGGTTTGCCTGTCGTGGTGTTTCACCTCCTCTCTGGACTGTACCTCAGAGTTCAACACTCATCTCCACATTTGCACCCCCAGCCTCGTGTATCCACAGAACTCAGCAGCATAGGAAAGCCCACACCCCTCCGTTCTCACCAGTACCTGTCACACCCATCCTTACACGTCTTCCACACCAGGGATGACGTGGTGCCTGATTGTCCTAAGGAACAAAGATGCTAAAAGCTTTCTCCTGCACTTCTTCACCATTACCATATCTTCTCTGAAAAACATCTATCCACGCTTCTACCCAGTCTTAATTGTTTTTTTAAGTCATAAAAGCCCTAACATGTTCTAAATATAGCCCCATACCACACATATGACTTGAAACTGTTTTTGTTTTGTTAGTCTTCTCTCAGTATGTACAGGTACATGCCCGAGAGAGTGTCCATTGTCTTTCTCTATCACGTGCACCACTGTGTCTTATTTAAGGCAGGGTCTCTTTTTGAACCAGGACCTTGCATCTCTCAGTGAGGCTGACAGCCAGCATGACCCAGAGATCCTTTTATTTGTCCCCTCAGTGCTGGGATTACAAGCATGCACAGAACTGCATCTCGCATTTTTTTTCCTACATGGGTGCTAGGGTCTAAGCTCTGGTCCTTATGATTGCACAGAAGAAGTTCCTGACCTCTGAGCCGCCTCTCCAGCCCTTTCATTTTCTTGTCCCTGCACTTTGTTAAACAGAACTCTTTAATCCTAATGACCGTCACTTCAATTCCTCTCTTGTCATTTGTGCTTTCCATGTTGTATCTTAAAAGCCACATCCTGTTGAAAATCATTAAATTCATGTTTTCTTCTAGTTTCTTCTAAGTTTCCTATCACTTTTAAAGCTGTAGCTCTCACAGTAAGCTTTTGATTAGTCTTGAATTAATTCTTGCGATATGTGTGGGGAAGGGCCTCAGTCTCATCTTTCTGCACGTGGACAGCCCGTCACCAGAGACACTGTGCCACAGACACTCAGCATTCTTTCGTCTTGGAATTGTTTTCCTAAATTTCCAGAAATCAACCAACCACAGGTGTGTGGATTTACTTCTAGACCCTCAAGTTTATCCTACGTGTCTGCATTTCCAACCTGATGCCCAGGCTGGGTTTGGAAGTAATTTTAAACCGGGAGGCTGAGTTTTCTATTTTGTTCCCTTTCAGCCTGTTGTGGACATCCTGGCTCCACCGATGTGCCTCTTCAGTCGTGGGTTAACTGCAAAGGATTCAGCTGAAGTTTTATAGAGACTGAATCGAATTAGTGGATAAATTTGGCAAGTACTGAATTTGTTGTTGTTGTTATGAGACAAGGTGTCAATGTGAGGCTCAGCCTGGCCTCAAAGCCAGCCTCTTTCTACCTTCACCTTCTGCATGCTGGGTCTACAGCATGTGCCGTTATGCCCTTCTAAGTGTACAGAGTTTTTTACGATACTAGCTATATTGATTCGTGAATATGACATGTTTTCACATTTATTTGTTTTTTTAAATTTATTTCAATGACATCTCATAGTTAACAGTGTTCTCTTCAACATCTGCCAAGTTTATTTCTATTCTTGTCATGCCACTACATGGAAAAAGTTTCATGTTATATTATTCATTTAAAGTTTACAAAATACAACTGATCTTTTCACATGTTTTATATCCTATAACCTTGTGATCTTATTCATTTTCTCTCACGCCAATGGATTCTTAAGGATTTTCTTTACATAAAATAGTGTCATCTGCTCACAAAGATAGTTCTGTCCTTTCCTTTCTAATCTGAAAGTCTCACATTTCACTTTCTTGCATAACTGCCCTGGCTACAACCTCTAGCAAATACCATATTAGCTTTCTAACCTTCATTAGTTTTGAGAGTTTCCAGGTTTACCAAAGAACTGGAACCAGGAAGAAGGACAAACTAAATGATGGACAAATGGTAGAAGGATGGATGGATGGATGGATGGATGGATGGATGGATGGATAAATCAATGTGTGGATGGAAGGGTGGATGGATGGGTGGATGGCTGGATAGATGGATGGGTTAGAGGTGAGTTATTTGGGTTCTGGGTTTTTTGATAATGAAGACTAAGTCCACAATGGGCCACCTACAGGCTGGAGATACCAAAGGATTTCTGAGCATGGCTCAGGCCAAGTCCAAAGTAATCAGAACTGAGAATGCAGTGCCAGATCTGTTGGTCCAGTTGGGCAGAAAGCCTGAGAACTTTCAGGGCTATGGTTTGAGACAGGAGTCCAAAGTCTCTAGAATTCTTGGTAATGTCCAATGACTGAAAGTAAGGATACCCCAGCTCCAGAAGAAAGACACAATCAACATCTTCTTGGCCTTTTCCAGATCTCTGACGTGCTAGCTGACTGGGTGGTGCTCGCACATGGTGAGCAGATCTTCCTCATGCATTCTACTGACTCACATGCCAATCTCCTCCCCAAATGCCCTACAAACACACACACACACACACACACACACACACACACACACACGCACGCACGGCTTGACCAGTTCTTTAGCTCTTTAGTCCCTGTCATCTAGTCAAGCCCACATATTTAAATTAACCAGCACAATTACTAAAGGGCAGTGGTGGGGTGAGCATCCTCGTCTCAGCTCTGACATCAGAAGAAAGCTTTCTGCCCATTCCGAACGGGCTTGCACAGATGTCCTTTTCAGGTGACAGCCTGACTTCCTAGTGTCGTTGAACACAAGAAAGCACGGGACTCAATCAGTGATTTCCCCGCACCTTTGCTCCCTTTCCCCCACACCCTCTGCCTACCTTCAGCTTAGCTTGCCATTGCTCACACACGTCAAGTCTGTACTGCAAGTCATCCCATCTTTCCACCTTCAACCTGTGCCAGAGGATTCAGCTATTTTCACTGTATGAACAGATCTGATGGCATCTGTATACAGTGTAGTCCAGCCAGCATTCATTATTTCCGTCCTTGTAACAACCTCTCTGAGGCCGATATACAAGGAGACAGAGGCTACCTGCCCTTCTACCATGAGGAAGATACAAATGTCAGACTCAGTATTAAAGGCAGGCCACCCAGCTCTAGGGAATCATTCTATTAAGCCTTTGTGTCTTAGTGATTTCTTTTGTCCCATGTAGTATTCATACTCTGCATATAAGCACTGCCAATCCCATCAACAGCTGCATCCTTGGTGTCTGCACCACTGTGGCTGATGTTCAGAAGATACCTGATTCCCAAGTGGAATGCTGCTCACAAGCCACAGTTTGCACAGGATCACGGCCAGCACTGCTGACTACACACAGCCATGGAGACTTGCAAGGTCCATCCGTTCTGAGATAGACCAGTTAGTTAATGCAACCTTTCCCAGTCACTTGACCACACCACCATGCCCACCGCATCAACAGCCTGGAAGCTGTGCTCCAGGAAACGCTCGGAGAAATACTGTCCCGAGGTGGGCTAATAACAGTCCTCTGCAGTAAGCCTCTGCCTCCCTTTCTGTGCCAGCTCTGTTCCTTTATAAAAAGTCTAAAGTAAGGTGAGCAAGATAAAATGTGCCCGTAATCCTAGCACTCAAGACACTGAGGCAGGAGAATCATGAGCCTGGGCTATA